AAAAAAAAAACACCAGGCACAGTGGCTCATGCCTGTAATCCCAGCACTCTGGAGGCCAAGGTGCACAGATCACCTGAAGCTGGGAGTTAGAGACCAACCCGACTAACATGGAGAAACCTCGTCTCTACTAGAGGTGGAAGGAACACTTGGGTGTCGTGGTATATGCCTGTAATCCCAGCTACTCTGGAGGCTAAGGCAAGAGAATCCTGTGAACCCAGGAGGCAGAGGTTGCAGTGAGCCTAGATCGCGTCATTGCACTCCAGCCTGGGCAACAAGTGTGAAACTCCAAAACAAAAAAAAAAAAAAAAGCGAGGCATGGTGGTGCAGGCTTGTAGTCTCAGGTGCTTAGGAGACTGAGGCAGGAGGATTGCCTGAGGCTGGGAGTTCAGACTGCAATGAGCTGTGACGGCACAACTGCACTCCATTCTGGGCCACAGAGCAAGATCCTATATCAGAAAAGAAGAAAGAACAGAAGAGGGCCGGGTGCAGTGGCTCATGCCTGTAATCCCAGCACTTTGGAAGGCTGAGGCGAGTGGATCACAAGGTCAGGAGTTTGAGACCAGCCTGGCCAATATGGTGAAACTCCATCTCTACTAAAAATAAAAAAAAAATTAACTGGGTGTAGTGGTGCAAGCTTGTAATCCCAGCTACTCAGGAGGCTGAGGCAGGAGAATCACTTGAACCTGGGAGGCTGTGGTCGCAGTGAGCTAAGACTGCACCACTACACTCCAGCCTGGGCAACACAGTGAGACTGTCAGAAAGAAAGAAAAGAAAGAAAGGAAGGGAAAGAAAAGGAAAGAAGGAAGGAAGGAAAGAAGGAAGGAAGGTGGGCGGAAAGGAAGGGGTAAAAAAGAACAGAAAAGAGAAGAAAGAAGGAGAAAGAGTGGTGAATTCAGCGAAGGGCTGGAAGATGGCAACAGACTTGGGGGTCTGGAAAGAGCACCATGACTCCTCTTTCTGGGACAGAACTAGGACAAGGAAGTAAAAGTTTCAGGCTGGCAGCAGCTGACATAGGCAACAATACCCAGCAATAGGAGTATAGATAGTGATCTCCCTGTCTACAGGGGCATTCAAGCAAAGATACCTCCAGGGCTGGTGCATGAGGGTATGTAGGTTTGGCTGGACTTGACAGAAGCAGCAGCCCCTTCCTCTGCATCTCCGGCGCCCCGTCTGGGGCCTTTATCTCATTAAATGTCCCGGAAGCCCTGGCTGGTCACTGAGCTTGCAGAAGGAAGAGGCCCCTCCTGTGCCCGGGCTGCACAAGCTCCGAGGCCGGCACTGCTTACCTCTGGTATTTGGACATACATGGCTACGACCGAATCGTGGGTCCACAGCCCTCTAGCTATAGACTCGGCAGGGCATGCCAGGCCCTGAACACAGCACTTGGTGTGTCGTAGCCACTCAGTAAGTGTGGGTTTGTTTTTGTGTGTGGGCCTTGTCTGTCGCCCAGGCTAGAGTGCAGCAGTACAATCACAGCTCACTGCGGCCTTGAACTCCTGGGCTCAAGAGATACTCCCACCTCTGACCTCAGCTTCCCAAGTAGCTGGAACTTACAGACATGTGCCACAATGCCCAGCTAATTAAAAATAAAATACACTTTTTTAATACAGATAAGGTCTCTCTATGTCACCCGGGCTGACAGAGTCCAAGGTGTGAGGACTACAGGCATGAGCCACTACATTTGGCCTTAATAAATATCAAAGATCAAGCCCCTGTGACTTTCCGTGCCGTTCAGATCTTGAGAGTGAGAGAAGTTATTTTCTGAGACAGCAGCTGGAGCTGCCATTGCTGAATGAATCCTGCTCTATCTTCACACTGAGTCCTGAATCCAGGGGTAAGCTCCTGGCGCCAACAGGTGACCCAGGTGTTCTAAGCAGGCCCATTTCATGCACCCAGCATGCTTCCCAAGAGGCTCTCCATGTGAATTCAGCAGCCAGGGGCCAGTGGGAAGACAAGAGATGACTCGGTTGGTAGGTTAAAGACAGCCATAGCTTCTTTGCCACTTCTCCACTGGGAAGCTGAGTCTCATTCTCCTCCCCTTGAACCTGGCCAGGCTTAGGACTGGCTTGGCCAGCAAAGGGTGGCAGAGGCAAGGCCATGCCTTCAAGATGCCTGACAGCTTCCACCTGGTCCTCTTGGAGCCCGCAGGCCGCCATGCTTTGAGGAGGCTCAAGCCACACGGAGGAGCCACCTGTAGATTCTCCCATGGACAGCCCCAGTGGAACTCCAAGCCATCTGCACATCCACTGATAGCCATGTGAACAGACCACCGTGGACACATGGCTCAGATGACATCAGGCCCCTGACATCAGATTGCAGCCAGGTGGGAATCTGCCCAGCAGGTCCCATTCACCCCACAGAACTGTGAAAAACGATTATCAGTGACAGTTCTAAGCCACTTGGCTTTGGAGTGATTTGTTCTGCCAACCGTCTTTGATCACTAGGGGACAGCTGTGCACCCCTGGGGCCTGTGGCTTCTCAGAAGTTAAAGGTGGGGGCCACACACGGTGGCTCACACCTGTAATCCCAGTACCTTGGGAGGCTGATGCAGGCAGATCACTTGAGGTCAGGAGTTCAAAACCAGCCTGGCCAACATGGTGAAACCCCGTCTCCACTAAAAATATAAAAATTAGCCAGGCATGGTGGCAGGTGCCTGTAATCCCAGCTACTTGGGAGGCTGAGGCAGAATTGCTTGAACCCAGGAGGTGGAGGTTGCAGTGAGCTGAGATGCACCACTGCACTCCAGCCTAGATGATGGAGTGAGATGCTGTTTCAAAAAAAAAAAAGTAGGGTGCAGAGGGCACAGGAGCCCTGATTTTACCCTTCACCACTGCAAGGGAAGTCACTTGGCTGTAGGGCGTGGAGGAAGCCTGAAATCCTCTGTCGGGCTTTGTCTTAGGGTCAAACATCCCCTGACCTCTCACCCTGGTGATGGGTCTGTCACTTCTCCTTCAGGAGGCCAGTGTTCAAATCCTGCCTACCCTACTCAGCAAGGGGTGCCATTCACTCCGTCACCCCTCCCTGGGTCCTGGCTCCCCTCTGTCAGGTGATGAATTGACAGCATTTGTCCCTAGTAAAGGGTGGTGGCCTGGAGGACTAGGAGGGAGTATGACCTGACTCTGG